ATATTTGACTCAAAGTAAATTTCCAACAAATTTCTACTTTTCTATGAAGTCGAAGTCATAGAAAAAAAATTCAATATAAAATTCAATAAAAATTAATAAGATAAGTTAGTTCAAAGTTAACATAGTGAAAGTAAAAGTAAGTTAGGGTTCGTCCTGTATCTCAGACTCCACCTCTAGCTGGCAATAAAAAGAGCCTTATTATTGATTACTTCTTTATAATGTATTTTTTACATCACTTTTATATAATTATATAACGCATTTGTGTTATTGCTATGTGTAATATTATGCTGTATTTATTAAGCAGTTATTGTAGGTTTTTGGGCTGTGGAAGGAATTATAGGAATTACAGTGTATTCTGATGGGAATATTTGAACCAACATACGAATATTTTAACATACGAAGTCAGTCCTGGAACCAGTTAGATTCACATGTGTAACCGTATCAGGAAACAAAGCTCTTCCTGCAGATGTTTACAGATGTGCTTTGCGTGAAGCTGCACTCACAGAGCTTGACGGAGCCACCGAACAGCGATCCTTTATCGAAGGCGTCCTTCCACGTGAAGGTTAGGCAGAGCTGCACACACACAGAAACACTTTGTGTTGAAGCTCCGCTGTAAATCAGCCGGATCGGTCATGTGTGGCCAGAAACCGATTACCTGGTTTTCACAAAAGGGGAACTTGGGCTCCACAGCACACAGCTGGTCGTAGTATCTGTGGACAGAGAGGAAAAGCAGGATTAAAACCTAGTTTTCCTTTATTTATGAGCCCCCAACATGTCTTATTGTTTTGTTTATTTTGTTTCCTCGATGAAGGGAAACTATGCTAAGGCCGCAAACTGGTTTATAATGCAGCAGCAGAGTGGAATCAGAGGGCGGAGAAACTCCACCGTCAGACACCCGACGGTGAGTCAGGAAAAATACCAGCGCAGGATCACACACACAAAGACACACACACACACACACACACACACACACACACGCACACGCACAGACACACGCACAGACACACGCACAGACACACACACACACACACACACACACACACACACACACGGACTTTTGTGTTCACACACTCAAAACACGCGTGTGTGTCCACGCTGGAAAGCCGATCTGAGCTGAGGTGAGGTGTGCCACCTGGATGACTAACGGCCGAGATAAGAAAAAAAAGGAACAGAAGAAAAGATCCCGCTAACAATGGTCGCCATGGCAGCCCAGAGGCTGTGTGAGGGGCCTCCTGGCCATCACTCAGACTACAGTAAATAGAAAGTCTCCAGACATCATTCAGTAAACAGAAAGTATCCTGAATCCTCACAGGCCAAAACGACGAGTGTCCAGAACTTAAAGAAGCTCAGCTAAGACAGTCAGCTCTAACTCAGAATCTCCATCAGAGCAGAAAACACCCAGATGGATGAAGGTGAGAAAAAACGCTCTGCATGGCTT